ATTCTATTTTCAAAGAGAGAGAGAGAGAGAAAGAGAGAGAGAGAGAGAGAGAGAGAGAGAGAGAGAGAGATTCCTGGTAAAAAATTTGTCATGCATGAATATGTATAAATATGTATATAACATACATAAACACATATAAATATTCATAAACATGTATACATGAAATATGTCCATACATCTTTCTTTCTTTTGTAAAATTACTTTTTAGTGTAATAGAGATAATAATAACGTGAAAACATTAAAAATAATTAAAACGATAATTTTCATACTATTTGTTTAAGAAAAAATCAAGTTTAAAGAAATGTAAAAGAATTACTTATGTATAATTATATATAAAATTATGCATAATTATGTATGAGCAATTCTTTTTTTACATTTTCCAAGCTTGTTTTTTTCTAAAACAAAGAATGCAAAAATTATCCCTGTAATTTTATTTTTAATGTTTTCACATTACTATTATTACTATTATTATTTCTATTACACTAAAAAGTAATTTTACAAAAGAAAGAAGGATATATGAAGATGTATGAACATATTTCCTATATAATTATACATGTTTATGAATATTTATGCATGTTTATGTATGTTTATTTTATATATTTATACATATTCATACATGAAAAATTTTTTACCAAGTTGTGATTATTACTACTTTATTATCAACTAAAATTATAATCATGATTAAAATAAAAAATTGTAAAAGTTATTAAATAAATGCTAAATTAACAAAATAAAATTTTGCAAGTTTCGCATTAAACAGAAGAAAACTATATACTGAAAAAAAAGAATATTATATCAACAGCATTTTAATTAAAAATAATTTTGTTAACTTACAATCATTAATAAAACGTCATGTCCCTGTTTTTGAAAAATATAATTTGTTTCATTAATATTATTGTTGAATTAACAAGGTTATTTTCAATTAAAAATACTATTGATATAACACCATTCTTTTTTTAGTAGTTTTCAATCTTCTGTTTATAACGCAACACTTACAAGAACTTATTTGTTAATTTAACATTGTAATATAACATTTTCATATAAATTAAAATATAAAATTTAATTTTACATGGAAGATATATAAATACAAAAATATGCAAATGCTACTTGATCTTTTCTCAACTAATGTCAAATTTTATAAATTTTATTGCTTTAAAATTTTTAAAATTATATGAATTGTTAATACATCTTTTTTTTTCAATATAGAGAAAAGCCCCCTATTATAGGTGCCTAATATGAAATACCAGCGTTTTTGCTAAATAAACACCTATCTATTGGTTCCACCATGAATTTATTGATCTCAGATTGAAAACTATTTAATAGAAAATTCATTAGATCATGCCTGTAGTCATTGTAAAACAAGATTTTAGAATTTGGATGTCTTCAAGTTTCATTGAGATGAGCATTTAAAGCTTGTTTATTATTTAATAGATAAATATTTGGCAATAAATTCTTCATGTAGATAGAGTAAGATCGTACTAATAGAAAAATACGTATGAGATATATTGAATTGTTTAATTACAGAAGTTAGATTTAATGATCGTAAAATCAAAAGGAGTGGAAATCGTAATATCCCAGGATATTCCTAATATGAAATAATCCATGCTCTTATGTTATAGTAAAAATCGTTGCTAAAGTTATTGTAATAATAAAAAAGATAACCGGAATGAACGTCGAGTGCCTATATCTGCGATACTTGATTCCAACTACTTGAAAACGAATTCTGGGTATAATCTATCGCATGCTCATTTTTTTGCGCACGCTGATTGTGTTTGTTTGTATTTTAGAAACATTAAATAAAGTTTTTTAATTGCAATATACTGATATACTTTGCGTTTTACTATCGATTTCTCGGGGCATCTCATATTAGGAGCATAATTTTTTGACTTTGTGATTCACTCACTTTTTACATTTCTTTAATTTAAAAAAAAAGTGAAATTTGAATTAAATTTTACGTAACGTTATCTTAAAGCTTATTAAATTCCCTTCAAAATGACTTATTATTTTTTTAATTTTGCCTATAGACTTCTAGCATTTACCCAAAATGGACTCGGTATCTCATAATAGAGGCCTTTCCTCTACATTTAAAATCTCGCATGATTATAACTGTCATAAAAAGTATAACAATCAACTATTATAGTTGCAGTGATTCGAAGTTTACGGTCATGTTCATATCAATATAAGTTAAATATTTCATACATTTAATGATAAAGGAAAATCCAAATATAATTAATTAATTTGAATGTTGTTTTGAAAATCGAATGAAAATATGGAATAAAGATAGATTTGTTAAAACAAAAAAGAAATTGTTTGTCGAATATCTAAAATATGCATGTACAGTGTATAATGTCTAATTAACGAATGTAATTAATATTATATTGCAATTTATGATATAAATAATAAACATAATTGTCAGTAATATATAAAATAATAATAGCAGCAATAACTATAAACAAATTATATATTATTTCTTGACAACAATTAATGTTAAACAAAAAAATTTTTATTTTAAATAAAAATAATTCTTTCTTAAAGGCATTTTTTTTTAAATAGTATTCAATGTATATATTATAACATTCCACAGTTTGTTTTTCATTTTAATCCAAATGTGTTTGTATAATATCAATATCAGTTTATAACTTTAAACTTTAACATGCATAATGCAATATTCTTTTATTTTCATATTTTATTGTAATAATTTAATAGATTTCTAATTAGATATAATAAGTTTTTAGATTTAACTAAAAAAAAATACTATTAAACACTTTTTTTAATAGAAAAAGTTTATATTTTAAATGTAATCACAATGTAATGTTTAAAGTCAGAAGTAATGGCAAGAGCAAAAACAGTTGTTATCACTTACAATTTCGCTGTCCATAGGACTGCCAACTGCTGACGGATCCTCGTCGCATCGTTGTAATTTAAAATAAAAATGCAAAGAATATTCTTAAGAAAAATAAAAACGAAAGTGCATGAAAAGGCGGCTTTGGAGAACAATTGCGCACCCAACGCGGAAACGAATTCGCGAGCGCGGCAGCACACAGGTGACGCAGGTACAACTGCAATTAGCTATTCTACCTTGCGGTGCCGTGTGTGGATGTTGACCAAGAAACACTCGCGGGTGCCCCCCACTCTTCGTTCGTCAGCTCTCTGTGTCGGTCTCAACCTTCGTTTCGCTCCTTATCCTTGCGCTTCTGCCATAATTCACGATTAGAGCCGCTATCGAAATTTTACCGCGCGAAATCTTACCTTCCTTTTTGTCGTGACACGTGGAACGAAGTCCACGTATGATAATTGCAACATCTAAAGAATGAGGAAAGTTCTTTTTCCTTTATCTTCAAAATCATGACGATAATTTTAAAAAAAGGATTAAACAAAAGGCTGAACAAAAGAAAATTATTAATGTTGTAAGATATAATTTTATTAATTGTGATAAATGTTTTCATTATAAAAAGCTAACTTAATTATAATTAGAGATCATTAAAATATTGTATTATTAAATAATGTTATTTTTAAACCCTTTTTTATTATCTATTACAATAGCGATTCCCATAAAACTTTTATCTATATTTTCCTTATAATTCTTAATATACTTTGAGTATTCTAAAATGTAGTATATTCTCTTTAGAGAAACTCCTATCAATTTTTCCAAAATCTAATTAAATATTAAAAATTTTCACAAAATTAAATTAAGTTACGACGTTCTCAAATAGTGATATCAATGCAAGGTATCCTTTTTTTTTTAAATACCATTAATCTCTAAAATATACAGGGTATCCCGAAATTTTTTTCCAAGCGGTTTTATGTAGAATAAAGCGGACTAATTGAGTCAAAGTGGATTTGAAAAGTCCTCTACCATTTTGCAATTTTCGTAATAATTAACAAGATATTAATTACTAAAAATCGCTGAAAATTGGTTGAAAACATTTTACTCAAGTATTATCAACTTTACAGAAAAGCAACAAGAGACAACAGTTGTTTGTTTTCTTTTAAAGTTATGAGAATTTTTTCAGAATTTTTTCGAAATTTTTTAATATCGTATTTTCTCATGTTGGTAAAAATGGTTGCAAATAAGAAAATATATTAAAAAGATATATTGATAAAAAATTCTGAAAAAGTTCTTAGAGTTTTATGAAAAGAAAATAAACAATTTTTGTCTCTTGCAGTTTTTCTGTAAAGTTGATAATATTTAAAAAAAAAATTATTAAAGACCAATATTCGGTAATTTTTAGTGATTAATATCTTGTTAACTATTGGGAAAATTGCAAAATGATACAGGCTTTTTTAGTTTAGTCCGCTCTATCTAAACAAGAGCGCTTGGCAAAAAATATCGGTACCTGTGTAAAATATTATATACGTAACATCGAATTTGTAACTATCACGTTCTCGATTGCAGCTTAGAACTGACCCAGTTATTGCGCGAGAATCTTGCAGGAGAACTCGCGAACAAAACACTCTATCAAATCCAATTAAGGCGATATGGTGTCGTGGTCCAAGTGCACATTGGGCTTGGTTCGGGGTCGGTACCAGGAGCCGGCACGCAGATCAACGGCACGTGTCATAATGTGTCATTGATGATAGCAACGTAATACAGACATATAGACAAGTACGCTGGCATCGAGTGTTTAAAGGGGAATACAATGGCGCGAAAGTCCTTGCAACAAGCAATGCCCGAGACGCACTTTGTTCCCAATTTGATGGCCAACACTGTCGGCCATAGATTGGCCGTTGACGTCGTTGTCTCTTCGTCCGAATTGACTCCGCCGCGATTAGGTTCCCCTTCAATTCATGACGACGGTCGCGATCGCCAGATTGGATAATGGATGGACGATCCGCCGATTGCCCTAAGTGGACCTGAATCCGATTCCCGGGGTGATACGTCACGCGAGACTGGCACCGGTGTGTTTTTCCGCGCGTTTCCGTCGCTTTTTGGCGACCAGGCCAACGAGGAACCGTTCGAGCGACAGTTTGCACGCGGCTACGCTATCACACAGTCGTTCTCTCGAACTCCTCCCAGAGGAAGTCGCTTCTTCTTTAAGGAGTATCAAGGTCAACCGGCGCGACGGTGATACAGATAATATCCAAGTCGGTTCTTCATAAACCACGATCGCGCTTCGCTGACAGATCATCCTCTGCGTCCCTCAGGCGTGCACGCCTGTCGCGAGGATAACGCCGTAAGCCAGGAATCGATTAAGTAGCGATTTTCCACAACGCGAAATAAATCCCTTCTACGAAGTTTCAGAATACTCCACTCGTGAAATCAGTACAAAATTTTATTAAGATTCTTACGATCTGCAAGGATAAATTGATCTTCTTTTTTTAAACAGTTTTTAAAATTTAGTTTGTTCAAGTCTAAATTTAATTTCTTCAAATTTAAAAAAAAATTGATTAAGCTGTTACTAAAATTAAACGCTTCAATTGAAGCGTCATATTGCTCTATTTTATCACCGATTTATTTTAATTATATCAATTTAGCGATAATCCAAATTTTTAGAATTTAAAATGTTTAATCTAATAATGTATTATTCTTCTCAGTTTAATATATTAATTTTATCAGGATAAGATCTCGTGATATGAGATCTCTCGACTGCTACTGTGGCACTGGATTATTCACAAGACTCCAAACTGATACTGACTCATATCGGATTAACTTCAACGTACAAGTTTTTGTCATATGCAAGTGAATGTTTAAATAACTTTATACTAAACATCAACTATAATTTAGGTTCACTCTGTACCATCATGATGTGGGCAACGTTGCTGTCAGAACTCGTTCTACTGTTGGTGATAACATCTGGTCTTCCTCGAAGCATTAGTGATGTCAAAGTATGGTGCCAATGAATTAAGGAATTATCGTAATCCAACTATCGGAATAAAAAATTGTTCGTTTGATGACAGGGCCGATGGAAGCGCAGTATCGATCTGAACGATGTCTACTACACGAAAATGCGTCAATATAGATTACCGAGTGAAGTTATACCGACCAGTTATCACGTGGATATCAAAATACCTTTCATCGAGAGCAACCAGTTTAACGGTCGTGTTAAGATCAATCTTACCTGGTCCGACACTAGTGATAGAATAACACTGAACGTCCATCCAAATCTTGAGATTTCAGTAGTCGCTGTCAGACTGCTCAAATTACCAGCCGATGAACCGTAAGCAAATAAAACATAAGCATAATTAAGTAACAAGAATTTCATAGTTTAGATAAAACGCTATCTAGTAATTTAATTTTTGTGCAAAGTGAATGCATTTTAACAGTAATTCTTATAACTCTAGTAATAATTTTTATTGTATTCATGTTATAATGATAAGTAGTAAAATATTGTTTTTTATTTTGTCAATAGTTCGTTTTCGTTATAATAAAATCGTAATAGAATCTCATTTTCTGTCATCTTTGTAACAGAATAGGAGACGAATTATATTTCAATATCGCACGAACCGAACGGCAGAATAGGAAATCCTGGTACATCATTTATCTGGAACAAATGTTGAAGAATGGAAGTGCCTGCGAAGTCGATATCACATACTTTGGAAATCTGACGACTAATGAAACTACTGGCCTTTACAAAAGCGCATATATGGATTCCGAAGGTCGAAAACAGTAAGTGCAGCAACAACTGTTTTTGTTTCTTTTCAAAATAAAATTTAAAAATTATGTAAGTTATCAAATGTTTGCTTTGAATTTTTTGCAGAATATCATTAATTTATAACTTATAAAACGTTTAAAACGTTTGTATGATATAAAGAAATTTAAAAAACCTTTCTATAACACAGAAGCTTGTAACGTTGCTGCAACATTTCCAATAATACTGCAATATTGCTGGAATATTGTTGAAATAATTTGTGTTTTACAGGATAGAAAAATTTTTTGTAATTAATGAATTAAAAAACGCTGTGAGAATAGTGATTATAATTCACACTTCCTTCTTATTTTTCAGCCCCTTCATAGCCACTTATTTACAATTAGATAACGCACAGAAAATGTTCCCCTGCATGGACGAACCACCTTATAAAGCCACTTTCAAGCTGAGTGTACTTTATCCTAAGGGTTTAACGGCACGTACAAACACGCCTACAATGTAAGACGTTAATATGGAACCTTTCAATCCCAAAATATTATATTAGCCTAAATTTTGCAAATTTATTGATAATTAATATTACTTTCACATCTTCTGTTTTTTTAAGCTTTGCGCGTGAGTCATCCGACAAAATTGAAGAAGAATTTGCAGAGACACCTCGAATGTCGACGAATCAATTTGCTCTCGTAATATCCGATCTGCAGAACATCGAGCCCACGAAGGAAATTAATGAAATGAATGGAAAAAGACTGCAGGTGAAGGTTTGGGGTCGCAAAGAATTCATGGAGTCATTGCTTAATGTCCCTAACAAAGTTGTGAAAATTATTAACTATTTGCAAGATTATTTTAATACCTCCCTTGGTCTACCGAAATTGGACCTCATGGCGATTCCCATGTACAGCACTTGTAAAGCTTCCGACAATTGGGGTCTCATGTTCTTCAAGTATATAAATATCTATAAAGATAATCTTATATTTGTGCGAAGTAGCACATATAAAATAAATAACTTTCTTCAGGGAAAGCGAACTCAGTAGTTCTCTAGTCTGGACCACTACGAATGAACTTCTCTATCAATGGATCGGTCAATCCGTTACACCGTATCGTCGAAACGATGCACCGGTTAACAAAGCTCTTAATTCGTTCTTAGCATCCATGACGACAATCGATGTAAGCCTGCGATATCTTTCTTTAATTGTAGAGATATATTTTACAATTGTAAATGTTTTTGTAATTACTATGAAATATTATATAACAAATAACAAAAATTAGTATTTTTAATTACTCTATATTAATTTTATTTTGTAATAAAAATTATGATATTATTACTGAGAAATTAATTCTATCTACTTTCAACAGCTCAATCCGAATGAGATGGAAGGAAAATGGCCGATGACAATGTTGTATCCTCTGTATTACGAATTTGCGCAGACAGCACCTTTTTCAAGAGTAGCTGGAATCAGACAAGAAGCTACATGGACTAAAGGTAATTAAAATGAATAATAATAATAATTGAATTAAAATGAACAATAATAATTAAATATTTTTATAAAAAACGATGTGAATTATAATTTACATTACCCCATAAAGTTGACATTCAAGGAAAAAATTTTAATATCAAGTGTATAGTATAAAAAAGCAAATAATTAACAAATAACTATATATTAATTGAGTACATAATTTAAATAAAAGAATAATCACAAACAAATAATTACGCATATGTAATTTTTTTAACGATATAGTGTAAGTTTATTAATAAAAATTAATTATCTCACCTTTTGGGTTTTATAGCCGAGTTAGTTTTCCGAATGCTTAATTACACTCTTGGGCGCGACCTATTCCAAAGAAGCGTGAGGAATTTCTTCCATCAGCAATCGAAAGAGTAGTAATTGCCTCCATCAATTAGTTGGGAAGCAGAGAGAGATTCTAATCTCCAACAATTTAACGTTTTTACGTAAAAGCAAACTTCCGTTTTTCTGCATATACAGAAGTAAATGAAGCTTTTAAGTTTTAAATGTAAATTTGTAAGCAATTAAAGATTTTTTTCAAAGCAATTGAAATTTTTTTCAAATTATTTTTGTTACGCACTGCTTCCCAACTATTTTTCTCGATAATATTGATCACAGATTTTATATATCGCAAAATATCGTGCCTTTTATGCTTAGAGATCGCAGAACCTTCTTCGCCAACGATATCTTCACTTATCTGAACGATGTGGCGAACGAGACGAACAATCTGCCACCAGGCCTGACCATCAACGGCATCGCTGCCTCGTGGATTAATCGAGACAGAGTGCCGTTGGTCACGGTCATACGCGATTACGAAACTGGAAAAATTAATCTCACTCAGGTAAGCTGGACAAAAGCGTTATTTCCTGCAAGGACGCGCGATGCGGGAAGGCACAGATGCGATTTTCTCACAGATAAAACAATAGAAATGACCACGCATGTGTTATTTAGACATGGTTAAAGCATTCCTCTTGTCAGCGGAAATTATATTTACTGACGAGAATTGACAATAATACTAATTCTATTACGCTAAACGTTTTCGATAAATGAAAATAATAAAGAAATTATTAAATGCTTCATTATTTATTTAAGAAATTTAAAAATAAAGTAAAAATACGTTATTTAAAAGGCAAAAGAGTAAAGATCTAATTTCGATAAAAATATTAACATACATATATATTATTTTAAACAATATAAAATATCATTGCGTGATAAATATCAATTGAATTAATTGTAAAATGCGCCGTTACATCCAGAACAAACATACAATTTTCCGCGAGCAGAGAAACATTAATATCAATTCATGAAGAAATATTTGCATAATGGATTGTATTACGTAGATTACTCCGAAAGTTTCCGCAAAATCATATACAAACGTATAAATAATTTCTGAAATTGGCTTTATTGTTTCTCAAAATACTCGTTGCAATAAATACACTTTTCCTTTCAATAAAGTCAATTGTCAAAGCATTTTGTCCATCTTTCTGGAGGCGCCTTATATATCAGATTTTCGAACACTTCCATACCATCTGGCACGTCTGGCATTCCATTACCGCATCTGGCACGTGTATAAAATTGGCCCCGCACTTTTCAAATTTTGTAATTTTTTTAATTGCGTTGTGTTGTGCTACGTTTGTGCCGACTTGTGCCGCAAATCGCAGCTCAATAACATGAAGCGTTTTCTAAAAAAAATTCAATTTGTTATATTAATATATAGGAATGAAAAACTTCAAACTTCAGTAATTTGCGAACTCCAGTAATTACGGTGTGAGATAATCGAATTCTGCGAGTTATGCTGAATTATGCTACTCAAGATCTATGAAGCACGCGCATAAAAAGTTGAGATTAGCTTAAGGCTCGGTAAAAATTTTTGAAAAAAGTGTGGGAGTAAATGAAAAATTTTTGAATTTTTTTCAGTTGTACCGAATTGTACTACGATAGTACATCAACTTTTTCTTATGGCAAAATTTCTTCAAACCAACAGGTTTCACAGTATCGTCAAAGTTATGAATCAATCGTTAGGATTTTTTAGAAACGAAAAACTTCAAACTTATGTAACTTGCGAATAGTGTGAGATAATCGAATTCTACGAATTGTGCTACTCAAGATCTACGGATCTACATTTTTATAAAATTCGTTTTCATTCGGGTTCTTATCAATAAAAAATATAAATCGAAATTACATAAATAACGCAAATTCCAAGTTGATGATTCCCGACAATTTAGTTCGTTCTTCTTTATCCAAGTGCCAAATTAGCTATGTAATGAATAGCCCAATGATCAAAAATATTAACTTATACAATAATAATATAATTACTTGCATAAAATAAAACCGACGTCAGGATGCGTCAAAATCCGGACAAATCGAACAATTTCTTTAAATAAAATGTTTTTAATGAAAAATTAAATATTACAAAAAATCCTTTTACATGGCACTTGGGGGATCCCTGCAGAATACAATTATTCGATATATCCCCCATTAGTTTGAATGATGGCCTCTATTCTCAGTCTGAAGCGTTCGCACACATGCTATAACGTAGCACTGTCCATGCCAACGAATGCTGCCTCAAGCGATCCTTAATGACATCACATTGGGATGCCGAGACTTGCTTGTAATCCTTTTAATTACGCTCCATAAGTAGTAATCTAAAGGATTTAAATCTGGGCTGTTGGGAGGCCAGAATGGGAGCCGAGATGAGCAACTCGGCTTGTCCTAACAGCCTCAGGAAGCATCTGTCGTATCTTTAATGTGTACGATTTGTATCAAAGGTCCTCCTTGGCAATTCGACGCATTGTTAGCTCGCTTACACCAACGATCGACGATAATTTTCGCAATGATTACTCTGGGTCATCCGAAATCAGCGTTTGAGTCCTTTCAATACTACGAGGATTCTCGCGATGCGTTCTTTCAAGTGACTCTTCCTCGCTGGCATACTGGAACCTTCGTTAGACTGTTCTAAAGCCGTATATTTTGCCACAACGTCATAAACGGTTGATCTCGGGTATCCAAAGAACTGAATTATTTCCATTGTTGAGCGCCCAGCGCGAAGACCGGAGTATAATCGAAGATCCGATGATCGTGGCTCTTCGATTATACTCTGCACTTGGTTTCAATATCGCAGTATTTTGAGAATATGACTGTATACTAGAAGTATTAGACTTTTTCGGACGCCAACAACAATCTCTGGCGGAGGCACAATATAGCGGAAAATTTAAATTGAAATTTGTCTGGATTTTGATAACGCACTCTGTAGGTACATTGCGTCACTAAGTAGAATCACATCGTTCAACAGATTATCAGATTTGCTGTGTAGTCATTCAAAAGAAACACGAAAACGAAAAATTAGAGAATTATTAAAATCATTTGTCTGAATTTTAATTATGTCAACTTACATGTAAGCGTTTTCTCGCAACTTGACGTAAAGTTTTGTAATGTCGACAGTCAGAGATACAATGAGATCAAAATAATAAAGTCATGTAATTATTGAAATAAAAATAAAAATAAGAACAAAAAAGAGTAAAATCAACGTCACAATTCCGTAAACAAATTCATGTATAGTGTCTAAAGAATACGTATCATTCTGTAAATTCAAACTCTGTTTCTGGTGCTTTATATGGATCGCTTCCGAAATCAGTCTTTTATTAAGTACGAGTACCTTTTCCTTGTCTAATATCCGATATTTTCCCAATCAAAATCATGTTGATAATTAATTCTCTGTTCTGTTATTACGGAATGCTGTGTAGTGTTCCAATTTATGTGATTTCTATGTTTATTTATGCGTGTCTTCAAATATCCTGTTTGGCCCATATACGATGTTTCACAATCTCGACAATCAATTTTATATACAACGTCTGTGTAAGATAGCTTGGGACAAACATCTTTATGATCTCTGATGAATACCCTAAGATTATTAATCCCTTTATATGCCATGTGTATTAAAGTCTTTTTTAAAAAATTTTTTGATCTTTTCTGATAAAAGTGATATAAAGGAGATTGTAAAAAACTTGTGATTAATTTTATCTTCATTATTGTTCGTTGTCTTACCCATAGGTGTATTATCATTTTATTGTTTAAATTTTTTTGACAACCTGTTTGATTTCAGAGAATGAGTTTCCATAACAGTGGTTATCTATTGTTTAAAAGAATTTTAATTATTAATTCAAAATTCTCTTAATGGTAAATAGGATGGGACAAAGAAAGAATTCTATCAATTAAACCAACGATTGTTCCCACTTTTTGGTATAAAGGATGTTTAGAAAAATAATTTAGATAACGACCAGAAAAAGTAGGTTTGTGGTACCAATTCTGAATAAGAGAATTTCCTTTTTTAATTAAGCTGACAAGAAAATCTAACTTGTCCTCATCTATTTCAATTGTAAATTTTAATCTGGAATGGAATGAATTAAAGGTGTTCACCAGCGTATCAATATGTGACGCATCATATGCTAACGCAATGTCATTAACATACCTCACATAAAAGGATGGTGAAATTAGAAGTCTCTGTAATGTTTTCATTTCAAGATCTTGCATAACAATATCTGACACAATGGGTGATAATGGTGAACCCATCAGAACACCAAAAGTCTGTTTATAAAATTTGTCATTAAAACTAAAAATTGTTGAATTAAGAACTAATTCCAACGCTTCAAAAAATTCCCTTTTGGGAATGTTCGTTTTTCTTTCAATGAGATGCCATCTTCTCGTATATTTTATTCGTTTCATTCACACGAAAATAAAGAATTTTCTGTGCATCCGAACAGCTGATGTAGGTTTTGATGGGTTTTTTTACATTTTTCACTGATAGACTCTTTCGAGCCTCATTTTATATATTTGTTTATCTATTTGCAGAATTCGATTATCTCACACCGTTCGTAAATTATTGGAGTTTGAAGTTTTTCGTTCCTATATATTAATATAGGCTAGGTTTTTTTTTAACGCATGTTATTGAACTGCAATTTGCGACTCAAACAATGCAATTTAAAAAATTACAAAATTCGAAAAATGCGGGGCCAACTTCACACATTGGTATATTAAACTTCAAACGCATTTTATCCTTAATGTATGGAAACAGAAAGAAATTACAAGGTGCCAGATCGGATTATAAGATGGATGAGTCACATTAATTGTGGATAGTCTAAGTTAGTAGATCGAAAACTAAGTTGTTTCCTCTGCATTGAATGACGATGCATTGTCTTGATACAAGATGATGCGCAATCTTGGCCGATTTTGATAAATTTTTTTCAAATACAATCGGCAGGTAAATTGTTGTGTACACTCAGCATTAATCGTATGACGATTTTTAAGCGCGATATACACAATAGGACTAGTTTTCCTAAAAAACGATGCAATCATTTTCTTCCCACTTCTGTCGCGATTCACTTTTGTTGGATGCGACTCCTTTGAGAACATTGACACACTCGATTATCGCTTACTTTCCGATTTATAGCAATAAATCCATGATTCGTCACTTATTACAATGTTATACATTGCTCTGGATCGACTGTGACCATATTGTTTGAGCATTTCTTTGCACCATTTGATGCGTCTTTTTTTTGGGGCCTTCGCGGTATCCAACAAACACACAGTTTTTTTCTGACGCCAAGATAATCATGTAAGATTATTTTGATTTGTTATACATAGGGATGCTTTTATTTCTCTGTAAGTTACATTTCATTTACTGATTACCAGTGACATACTTGGCACTCTGATATCAGTGATTATCCACTGATTCATATTTAAAAAGCCCATCTATATGCGCGATATTCCAGAGATATTTTGAGATAACAAAATTACATCAGGTGTGATGTTACTGAAATATCCAAATATCCATCTTTTATCACATCTCAATTATAATATTATACTTTAAAATCAATGTTATATTACACTTGAAATATAATAAAAGACGCTTGAAATATGATTTGGATATTGTTAGTTAGTGATACGTATCACAATAACGCAATTTTTTTTCAAAATATCGCTAGAATATTGTACATAACTATGCTATGTAGCATATAACACGCAGAAATCCTGAATGTGTCCTGTGAATCTCCAGGATGACATCCTCGCACAATTATTTAATATGTATACTTCCGACGCTCAATTTTTTAATTTTTTACATTCAATTTTAAAAAATTTATCGTTTAACTATAATTAACAACGACATTGAAAATGTACAGCACAGCTTATACTTATAAGAAACTTATAGCAACATTGCTGCAACAATGCAGCAATAATATATTTCAACGTTGCATATTGCAATACAATGTTGCAGGGACTTCTTTTTACAATATTATTTCAGTAATGTTGCAGCAATATTTTAAAAATATTTCCAGCAAGAGACAAATGGACACAAGAGTCATCCTTGTTCGATAATCAGTAAGAAACAAAAACAGAATGATTCTTATGTTGATTTGTGCTTCTGCTGGAAAGCTCCTAGTAAAATCAAGGATTAATATATTTAATGCATTACTGACATATACGTTACGCATATGAAAATATCGATTAGAAGAAGACTCAATTCTACATTTAATTCATATACGAGTTTTGTTCCATAAAAATATAAAATATATATCAAATTTTTAATTATTTGAATATTTAGATCATTAAATCTTTTGAATAGCAGAACTTTATACTTTTTTAGATTTACGATTATAAATTGCCTTTATATATTTATACATACGATTATAAAATGCCTTTATATAGATATATATACTACAATTTTTGCTGTACTTATTTTTTTTAATCCATATTTCTTAAAGTTTTTGTTACTTTATTTTACACTTAATTATTTACATAAATATTGGTAAATGAAAAAATAATAATATATGAAAATTTTAATTTAAATCTTTCCTAGAATAAAAAGAAGATAAAAGAACATCTTATTGTATATTCTTAAATAACACTTATAAATAAGTAACACTTTATTTGTGCTTTTAGAAAGTCTATTTGAGAGATATACCACCGCAATCTACAGCGAAAGTATCCTATCAGTGGGACATTCCGATCGTGATGCAGGCACAAAATAAATTGAATTTTCACAACACTAAACCGACTGTGTGGCTAAAAAAAGAAAATGTACCGAAAAATTACACTATCTCGGACATTACCGACAAAGATAACTTCATTATTGTGAATCCCGAAGAAATCGGTAGGTGGATATTCGAACAATATTTTCAATAGAAAACCATTGTAATTATTTCTAAGCAAATTACAATATTAATGATTTTAATTAAAATAGTTTGATTTCTCTTTAATTATATTATATTTTACATTTTTATACCAACATTTGATTTTTTTTAATGTATATCTTGTAAATGTTAAATATTTTCAAATGGTTAGAAAAAATTTGCATCAACTAAATGAAGATATTTATAGATATCATGTGCTGAAAGCGTACAAATTCATTTTTCCTTTTTAGTAATTAATCTTTAGTATTCACATCATAATTTTTTGGTTCCTACTATACACGATAATCGTTCATATTCTATAATTTCATCGCATTTACACATATAAATTAAAAATTATTAAGTGATTATTAAGTGATTCTTACGTATATTATTCTTACATATATTATGACTTTAACATCTTTACAAAATATTTATAAAATTCTGTATTTAAAAAAAAAAGAAAAGAATAAAGGATATTATAAGCTAAGTTCTAAATGCTAGTATTTCAAAGAAGAGAAATGCGCAGAACATGAATAACTCAACCATATTTACTAAGAATTAATAATATTACTTCGCAGGAATGTTCCCGGTAAACTACGATACGTGCAACTGGAGGATGTTGTCGCAATATCTGCAAGGGCCAGATCGTGAGAAAATACCTCCTTTAACCAGAGCAAAACTTCTGCACGATGCATGGAACTTGGCATACGCTGGCGAACTGTGCTTTGGCGTTGCGATGAACATGACTCTCTTCCTCAAGGAAGAAAAGAGCCATGTGGTTTGGGAACCAGTATTCACAATGATTAATCATATCGGTCGGCGCATCGAGGGCTTGGACGTATATTTGAAATTTGAAGTGAGTAGATGTTGCTTTTGATCAATTCATTAAAATTATTAATATTCAATATTAGCATTATAAATGACAAAATTGAATAGATGCAGCTAATATTCGATATTATCGTTAAAATAGAAATTGTAATTGTAATTATAAACTATAGTTGAACTATAGTTTATAATATTTGTAACTATTTTTTCTCTCACAATCAGTATACGTCAGTTTTCTCTCACAATAAAATACGTCATATAGAAAAATTCCGACTTAAATTTCCCAGATAACAACATGTTTTGTTACTATATTGCTAAGTATGCATTGCTAAGCATGTGTTGCTATCAGAATTGCAGCAATTGTCTTCATTTCTTGATGCCTTCATGATATGATAATATTGAGTAGCAACTTGCCAGTAGTTTGCCGGTAACTTTAAAATCGTCATCATCAAAATTCGTACTACTGTCATTATGTTGCCATAATAATATGCAGCATCATGCAATGCTTTTATATTGCCGACAACACAAGATAACATTGATGCAGCTATTTTGCTGTTAAACTGCTGGCATATACATGTTGTTCCTGCATGTTGCTACAATGTCGGTATATTCGAAATCATTGAAGACAAATCTATAGCAAGTTGCCAAAATCATAAGCAATCACAAATTTGTGTGATTTTGCTGAGACACGCTTTGCTATCTAGGTTATTCTTTAATTTGTTATCATCAGATTGTACGTTAATTAACAATTAAATAAAATTTAATTTCAGGCGTATATTCGAAGCTTATTGAAGCCTCTCTACTTGGAACTTGGAGAGAATCCTCAACCTGATGAACCTTCCTGGAAAATCCACATGCGTGGTCTTATGCAGAATTTCCTTTGCCGTGCTGGATATGAACCTTGCGTTATGGAAGCCAGAAATCAATTCAAAAAATGGTTGACTGACGAAGAGCCGGACAAAGGAAATCCGTCAGTATCAGAAATTATAAGAACAAACCACTTATTAAGATAATTTTTTAGTAAATCGAATTATCATGTATAGAAATGACTAATTTTTTTATATAATGAAATTGAAGTACCAAAATTAACGTATGTAAAATTCTACGGTAAGTTAATGATAAAATATCGTCAACTTTAATGCTTAATATCTCGATTTGCGAGCCTAGGCATGACATTTTACTGTCAGATTCTTTCGTTTGCAAAAATGCGATAAATGAGCATAATTTTATTAAAATTAAAGATGAGAGGCGTCTTCTAAATAATTATCCAAGAATTTATGAGTAATAAAATGATAAATATATATAAATAATAACAAGCTTACATATAAAAACATTTTGTGTCATCATTATCTTTAATTAAGAATTTTTTTTTAATGAAATTGCATTCAATTTCATCACCCGAATCTAATACTTCCATGTAAACAATATGGAACGCCATTTTTATCTTTTTATCTAAACTAAAAGTTTTTTATTCCTTGTCTACACGCTTACATTCATCAATTTTGGATTAGTTCAATTCAGTTCAGTTCTAGTGCAGGAACAGAAAGCAAACCTTATACACGTAGTTTTAATATTTAATGTAGATATTTGTAATATAGAAATTATGTAGATATTTGTAATTTTGGGTGAGCTCATCCCAAATTTTCAGCACTTTACTAAAGAACCGCCTTAATTTATTTAAGAAACTTATTTTATACATATACTTATTTAATTGTTTCAATTCAAACATAGCTTAAGTGAAATATTTTTAATTCGTAAGGGACATGTCCCTTTCGAAACATCCATAAAAACCTGGACGCACTAGATGTCTTTAATATCTTCTGAAAGTTAAAAACAAAATTAAAGTAAAACGTATATTGTTCAATGTAAAATTTTCTAACCAATCAATTGATAATATTTAATTTTCAAAAAACGAAATGTTATTTATTCAAAATAGAATGTTAAACAATACCAATTTTTTCAAGTTGATGCTGATGCGAATTCACATCCAGGTGTCACTAATTATGAGTTAATTAAATTAATAAGTATGCATTTTATCAGTAATAACAAAACGTTATTGAACTGGCGAGAATTATGCTTCGCAGGGTCGCCAACAAATTCCTTTGCCCCGTATTCAAATGGGGCACCGACGAAGAATGGGAGTTTGGATTGCAGCGAGTCATAAATTTCCCGAAGACCAGCCTAGCTAGAAAACAGAACGAGCGCACCTATTTATTGAAGACTCTCGCTGGATGTCCGAAGGATGCAAACAAGATCGAAAGGTCAGCATATTCACAAAATTTACAGCTTTGAATAAATTCTATTTCTTACAACATACAGTCAAAAAAACAAAGTGTTTAAATATAATTTTCTCAAAATTCTTGAAGACTATTCTCCACATTCCTAACAAACTTAAAGTTTGTGTTTTGCAATATGAATAAAACATGTAGATCATTTAAAAATTTGAAATGAGTACTGTTTGAATAAAATTAAACCTCGTTAGTACAAGTAAGTTTAATTTCTTTAGTCTGCATATGTACTCATAAGTTCATACGTTCATTTCTTGTATATGTATTCAGCTGCTTTATATATACTATGTCTCAGAAATGGGGTAGGAGTCGCATTGGGGGCGTAGAAAGGATTAAGGGGAACAAAAAATCTATTATTACTAAACTACTATTAAAAATATACTATTTTGAGATATTTCTTGTAGTTTTCAAATTAAAAAATAAAACGTCTAAGCCAATGCGCGGTGAAACCACGTCGCACGAATTTGTAGCACGACTCATTGTATTTAATTCGACAGCGGCGGCGAGCACCAACGGGAAGGATGACGCTTCGTCGCATGGCGATTTTATGTGTTTTGCCGCATCTACACTATCCAAAAATATTATTTTAGCTGAAATATTCCTTACACATTTCTTATCGTTACAAAATAATCTCATAATTAATAATTGCAAATCTGTACATTGCAAATCCAATATTCTTTTAGTTGAAGTTCTTTTATTTTTTTGTTCCTTTAAATCATTAATTACATTATTTTATACTACACTATTAGAAATTTCATAATGAATTTTAAGTAACATGTAATGAAAGTTTGTAATAACTGAAAAGTAATGAATAATATAACTGAAAACTAAGTTACAGTAGTAATATAATGAACGTGTGCACTAAATCTAACGAACGTAGTATAAAAATTAATTTAGGAGTTAATGTAGGTAATATAAGGGATCTGTGACCAAAAATTAATAAACGCTTTAATGAAATGTAAGAAATGTATAATTGAAAAGTAATGATGTGAATGAAATCTAAGTTACAGATTTTTTTAAATATAATATGGGCATTAAATTTGATGAACAGTTTAATGAAAATAAACTAATAGAGGAAAGCCTCCTATTATGAGATAGGTGCCTAATATGAGATAGCGTTTCTGCTAAACTAATAATAGACGCTATCTAATGGTTCCACCATGAATTTATTGTACTTGGATTGAAAATTGTTTAGTAGAAAATTCATTATTAGCTTGTAGTCATTGTAAAAAATGATTAGAATTTGGATATCTTCCAGTTTCATTGAGATGAGCTTTTAAACATTGTTTATTATTTAATAAATAAATATTTGACAATAAATTCTTCATGTAGTAATAGAATAAGATCGTACTAATAGAAAAATACGGGATATGTTGAATTGCTTAATTACAGAAGTTAGATTTGGTGAGCGCAAAACCGTAAGGCGTGAAAATCATAATATGAGATACCCAGGATATTTCTAATATGAAATAACCCATGCTCCCATGTTATAGTGAAAATCATTGCTAAAGTATAAATGTTATTAGTGTACAATAATAAAAAAAAACAACCGAAATGAACGTCGAGTGCCTATTTCTACGAGGCTTGATTTCAACTACCTGAAGATGAGTTCTGGGTATAATGTATCGCATACTCATTTTTCGCGCACCTTGACTGTGTTTGTTTGTATTTAAAAAATATTAGTTTAAATAAGAAATATTAGATTAAACAAAGTTTTTTAGTTGCAATACTGATATACTTTGCGTTTTACTATTGATTTCTCAGGGCATCTTATATTAGGAGCACAATTTTTTGACTTTGTGATTTACTCACTTATTATATTTCTTTAATTTAAAAAAAAAATGAAATTTGAATTAAATTTTATATAACATTATCTTAAAGCTTATTAAATTCTCTTTAAAATGACCTGTTATTTTTTTTAATTCTGCCTATAGACGTCTAGCTTTTATTTAAAATGAATTCAGTATTTCATAATAGGGGCCTTTTCTCTTAATTTTTAATTAGTATTTTTTGAATACACTTAATTTTTCAGTTACTACAAACTTAAATTTCATTAACATATATATAAATAATCTTTTTAGTTACAGAACATTTAAATTTTATTCACTAGTAGATATTAAAGATGAATATATTAGGTGTTGGAATTAATTCGTAGCGTTTTTTAATGAAAGAATGTTATTTATTTCACATGAGCATTAAAAAATACATTAATGAAAGTATTTCCCATCACTTGTAAAACGCTACGAATTAATTCCAACACCTAATATATATAAAAAAAATTTAAGATTGTTTCTAATAGTGTACGATTAAACCTATTAAACGGCAAGAAATATAAAAAAGAATACATTTACAATGTAGCGGTTATCTACGCGAGCTTACTGTAACTCCAAGATCGTGATTCAATTCACGCTTACAACGCTTAAAAATCATTTCATCTTTATTGTTTGTCAAATGTTAAACGAAGATAAATGATGCTCATGAGCGTTGTTAGCATGAATCGGACCATGGACCAAATGAACACGCATTAATATATCATCAATAAATAATACTCCAGCAAAACGTATCATAAAACGACACGATAGCTTCGACAAAATGTGTCTCAAAGAATAAGTAGAAACATTGTATAATAAAGCAAGCGGAAAGGTATCGCGACGATCACTACGCTTTGCGTAGTGCTCTAATTAATTACATTGCTTAACATACTTGATAGTAAAATCTGCGAAGACAAATTTTGAGCAGGGTCTGCTACCAATTTTTGATTGCAAAAAGGCAATAAATTGTACACAGAGTTTGTATTATCTGACATTGTCAGCTAAAATTGCTGTCAGAAGTATGACAAAGTCTGCTAGACATATTATGCCAGCAGATTGGTAACAGAAACCGAATAAAGTCCTACATAACCTGACGGTAGAATTCGAGCAAACTCTGTTCGATTTCTGACTGCCACTAATCTGCTGGTATAGCCCGTTAGCAGGCTTTGTCGACAAATTCATAGGCAAATGCGGACACAGATGCTATAGTTTTGTCAAAACATGATTGAATTTGCTGCAAATTTGATCCCAAATTGCTAACATTTTGCTATCAGGATGATCATATCCTGATTGTGCAAAAACATATTTAATCATGTTAAATAACATGATTTATAGTGATAAGAAATGTGTAAGGAAAATTTCAGCTAAAATAACATTTATAGCGGCCCTAACAGATTATAACTCATAGCACAAGACGTCCTCAGAATCATGTTGACTATATCAGGACATTCTGGGGATAGTCTAAGGATGTCATCTTCGTAGCGTTGTAATTAAAAATTTTTAGTCAAATGCATTACATAAATCTCGGCGCTAAGATACGCGCAGCGACATTGCCGTGGCTACTTTACGCGAGCCGGCGAATTGCGCCAGATCGAGATTATCAGATTTCAATAAGGGCTGAACCGATCAAGTTCTAAGCGTTCAATCGACCGCTCGGGATATAATAAAAGTGTTTTTATTTTTTTCTCTAAGTGCTCTACAAGCAGATATATTGCAAAATACGAATCTAAAACTTTTATTTAAAAAAAAATAAGAAACGTTGTCGCTACGGAGTGGGGAAAATGTCCTTTTGAAATTTTTGGCGCAAGATGCAAATGTGGCGCTAGCAATGCATAGTCACATCACACTTGATCAGCGAGCGTTGCAAGCACTGCAATGATTCTACACATTTTACACATTATACACTCTGCAGAGATTACAGTATAAGTTGAAGTTATTGTTACGGTCATGCGATCGCAAAGGAGTTGAATAAGTGCGATTGTGGCTAAACTATATTATATTATATATAATATTAAATTCCGGTTATTGATAAAAATATTTTTAGTCAATGTATTTTCGCATAATTAAATGTCTAGGTTATCCAAATAATATCGAGATTAAGGAACTGTGATCACATTTATACGGTACTTAATCGGATTTAATAACAGTGATGAAAATACATCCAATCGAAACGTTTTCATATAAAAATAAGTAAAAGTTTGATAAAAAAAGTGTCGCTCTGCCTCATGAACCATGATTAGTTATTGAAGTCGATGATTATTCAGGTTAAGAAGTCACAGCGACGAAATATTGCGATGCAAGCATACATTGCAGATACTGAAATAAAATTTTCATTTCTCTTTAGATCTACCGAAATAGCGGCTCGTATTGATTCCGCATCCGCAAATTCCCGTCAATGGGACATAGGAAAATGAATTCCTGCGGATCGGAATCACATAGGTTGCGTTCAGCGGACTGGAGCCAATAAATTTGCGCAAACAGAAAACAGCGGAATCGGCGGAATGAAGCCATGACCTATCATGAACGTTCCGCAGTACTGCATATTCGCAATTATGCATATCCGCAGTTCCGCATCCTATGGGAGCGCATCTCTGATGATGCAGTCCCATGGTGCGGAACGCTCATGATTGTCATCGTGGCTTCATTCAGTCAATTCCGTTCCACTAAAAAATGTGTTTTTCTATGTTCCATGGAGCAGAATTTCCGGAATGCGCAATTAGCGTTGACCAATCACAAGAGCTTTCCCATAGATCACTTTCAATAGATCCACCGGAATAGCGTTTGTCATTGGCTCGCATTGATTGCGCATCTGCAAGTTCCGCTCCAGGGGACATAGGAAACTAAACTCCTGCGAATCGGAAATCACACATACAGGGACATTGTCCTTGTCTTCATTTTGTCTTTATTTTGATTTTGATTTACATTTTCGCCTTTCTGTATGCTATATATACAACATTCGTGTTTTGACCGTATTGATCTTCGTATTTATCTAGAGACTTAATTAATTATTTTCAGAGTTATGTTTAGATTCCATCCGAATGCTACCCAGGTATCACTCCATTCTTTTTATTTACTGAATGTTAAACAAAAATTAGACATAACACTCGGAGAACACCCAAGTGGAAATCCGAACACGCATCAGCATGTTGATTAATCATACGC